AGGGGGGGGGGGTCTTGCTCTGAGCCCCCCGCGTGTCGGTGGCAGTGATGGGTGGGTTGGATGCTGTTCCTCTTCCTCTCACCTCAGGGCTCCAAGGCCCTGTGAAAAGTGTGTTCTTCACGCTGTGGGGAGCACATGGAGGTCCCGTCACGGGTTTGTGCCCCTCCAGGAGGGTGCCCCGTGTCTCTCTCCCCCCTCTTCTGACTCCCAGAGGTGACCTGGCTGGTGACAAGATGTGGTGCTTCCTCGGGGGTCACCTTCCTGAGCCTGTCCTGGAGCAGTGACTGCTCTCACTGCCTGGGATTCATCTCCTTTACCTTCTTTTTTGGGTTTTCTCTTTCTGTAACTGCTCAGAGCAGCATAAAATGGGTAAAACATGGATTTACGACCATCTCACTGTGTAGGTCACTGTGTCCATAACTATTCGATGGGGCTCTTCAGCGTTGGTCTCCTGTAGAGTTGAGCTGCTGGCTCAAAACCTCATCTGCTCTGAGGACCTTTCTCCGGGGGGTGGTGGGGTGTGTGGTGGGTGTAACTCCTGTTACTTCCAGGAGCACGGAGCCTGTGGAGCTTCCCTGCCGGAGCAGCTTCCCTGGTGGGACCAGCAGAAGGAGACTCCTCCCTGCTCCGCTGCCTTCCAAGCTCTCCTTGGAGAAGAGACTTTGGAGACAGAGACACCTTCTGCCCAAAACCAGCTCATCCAGCCCTTACACCCACCCGACACTCATCCCTGCCCAGGGACAAGCCAAGACAGAACTGGAGCTTCTCTGCTGTCCTGGGGTCAGAGCCTGGTGGAGAGCGATGTCCTCGGGATGGGGGACAGGAGGCACCTTGGGTGGCATCTGAGTGGCCTTGTCCTCCATCCTGCTCTCCAGCCTTGTCTGCAGGGTCTGCCCTCGCTTTGAGCCACCGCTCGCAGCCGGAGCTGGAGAAGGTGCCCGGCTCCTGAGGGAGCAGGAGGACAGCAGGAGATGGAAGGTCCATCACCGGAAGATGAAGGCCCATCACTGGAGGATGAAGGTCATCACGGGAAGAGGAAGATCATCACAGGAAGATGAAGGTCCATCGCTGGAGGATGAAGGGTGAGGGCAGGGCAGGGTGAGGGACACTCGGGGCCATCCCGGTGTGACGGCACGTGGCTGCAGCATCGGGTGGGTGACATCGGTGGTGAAGGTGACTGTGACCCCTCCCTGCTGCTGTCAGGTCCCGCAGCGGGAAGGAGCAGCTTGGCCGCGCTCCTCGTGGGCCACAACCACCGGGCTCGTTGGTCCCCTCCGGTGCCCCGTTCCCGCCGCTGGCTGATGGGACGCGGCCCCTTTAAGCGGAGTGAGGGCGGAAGCACCGCCGGGGGCCGGGGCTTTTTTCCGCTTCCGCCCCTTTCGCCGCTCTCGCGAGATCTGCCCCTTCCGGCCCCGCCGCGGCCCTTTCCGAGGAGACCCGGCCAAGATGGTGGGTGCGGGCGGCGGCACCGGGGGTGCCCATCGGACTCCATCCGCTGCGGGGGCGGCCGTGAGGGGCCGGGGGGGGCCGCTGCCGGCGGGGACGGTGCCGGCTTCTCCCTGGGGGGCGGGGGGGAGCGATCCCCGGGCCCTACCGGGGCCCAGGCCGCCCGGGCCGCGCTAGGCCTCAGCGCGGG